ATGAGCTACCCTTCTATGCTATGAGGGCTTGTAAATCATTGGTTATATGCACACTTGGTGCGGTTCTATTGGGGCCTTATAGGGGAATTTGAGCGAGATGGGTATTAGGGTGATGCATGATTGATAGTGCATTGGTTATGTTCTTTCGAGTTTGTGTGGCATCGTGTCATTTGCTTCTCCACGGTTCTGGTCATGCACATTGGGCACTTGATGTCGAGTTGTGCGTGGTTTTTGATTTTGAGCAGGGTGGCTTGAGGTATTTCCTATGGACCAGTGTTTGTATGGTGTCACACATTGCAGCGGAGTTATGTTGAGATATGATCCTTTGTGTTAGATTCGTGTGTTATGGTTCTACAGTGAGTGATGGGTTTTTCGCATTGCGTTGTGGCTGTACTTGTTAAGGTTGTGGGACGGTTCTCTCGTTTGAGTCATTTTCCATGTTTGAGTACATTTGAATTGTTGTGTATTGGTGCACAGATTGCACAGTTTGTGGCTTTGGGTAGTATTGGTGTGGCATGTCAGTAAAGTAGTTGGTATTTGATAAGATGAGGTCGTTGGATCTAGGATGGGTGCTATCGGATTTGATTACAGTATATTTGGAAGGATAATATCAGAATCGGCTTAGAAATTGCTATAATTCTTATCGAAGGAGAAGGAGCTCCATGACTTGTTGATCTAATAAATGGTTATGAGTTTCTGCGTGTTTGTTTCATCATCAGCAGTGAACGGAGATTTAGAACGAGGTTCTGTTTGATATGAGATTTATTACCGGTATTGGGTTGTTTTGAGCAGCTACTGTGATTGAAAATTTTGCTACGAGTATGCGAGTTGTGCGGTATGTCATGTGAGTACATCTTGGGTTATGGTTATGGCTTGATACAGCCTGTCCAGACTTACACAGTGTGTAGATGCGAGGTCCAGGTCTTGTGGGAAATTCCAGATGTTAGAAATTGGATTCTGCGATTACGGGCTGAGGTTGAAGTAATGATCTTTAGTTATGTTGTGGTGTTGGGCCTATATGGAATAGGGTGACGTGGGATCACCCCTGGGTATGTGCATGGTAAGGTTACACGACGATTTGATGGCTTTAGGAACAAATCTTGGCACGTTCGAAGACGAGCGTATGTTTAAGAAGGAGAGAATGTAACGACCCGACCGGTCATTTTGAGCATTTGCACTTCGCTCGGTTGTTTGAGGGCATGAGTAGCTCCGTATGATGTATTACGACTTGTGTGTATCGGCGGTTTTGGTTTTTCAGGTAATTCGAAATTTGTTTGGAAGAATAAATTTCATGATTGAAGCTTAAAAGTTGGAAGAGTTGACCAAGTTTGACTTTTTAGTGTTTGACCTCGGATTGGAGATTTGATGATTCAGTTAGGTCCGGATGGTAGCCCGGATTTGCATTTGGATATTTCTAGAAGGTTTCAATGCTAATTTGCGAAAGATGAAAATTTGAAGGTTTGGAATGTTCATAAGTTTGATCGGGAGTTGACTTTGATGATATTGGGTTCGAATTGTGGTTCCGGGGATGAAATAGCTTCGTTATGTCAATTGGGACTTGTGTGTAAAATTTGAGTACATTCCGAGTTGATTTGATATGTTTCGGCGCGAGTTTTTGGAAGTCGAAAGTTCGAAAGTTCATTAAGTTTAATTTGAGGTACGATTCGTCGTTTCGATGTTGTTATGAGCGATTTGAGGACTCATTAGGTCCGTGTTATGTTATGGGACTTGTTGATATGCTCGGACGGGGTCCCCAGGGGCTCGGGTGAATTTCGGATAGGTTTGGGTTGTGTTGCGCTCGTTTTTCTTATGTTTCGGCATCGTTTCTTCTAACATAAATGGTACCATGTTAAGCAAACGAGCTCCAATTTGGATTTTGATTGAAGCATTAGATCCGTATCATAATTACAAAGCCATAACAAAATGAATCGTCGAATTTAGACATCGTATGAAGAGTTTAGGGGCATTTTACTGAGAATTGGATTGCTAGATTTTTTCAGATTAATTACGAAATTGCCATTGACTTCTTATTTAAAAATCTGCACTATTTCCAAATATTGAAACCATCATATCTCCTTCATTATAAGGTCAAATAGAGTGATTCTAAAGCCTAACTTAACTGAAATTTCACAAGGAATCCATTGGAGGCAACAAAAGCGAGTTCCGAGATTGTTTGGAACACGAAACAAGCCAGAATTGCTGAGCAAAAATACTTAATATCGAGGGTTTGTTCATTTGGTCATTTTTTTAGTTGGGGAGCTCGGATTTGGAAAAGATTTTAGGCGATTTTTACCATATGGATTGGATAAAGTGTTCTGTACTCGATTTTTATTATATTTCATGAATCCATCTTCATTTTTGGCATTTGATTGATGATTTCAAAGTGAAATTTGGGGGGTTTTGTCTAAAATTTCATAAAGTGAATTTTTTAGTTTTGAACATCGGTTCGGTGTCGGATATGAGTTAAACTAGTATGGTTGGACTCGTAATTGAATGTGTTGTAGGATTTTGTAAGTTTTGTCGGGTTCCAAAGCGCAGATCCAGGTTGGATTTTTGGGTTGATTTTGGGCTTTTGGTTAACGATTTGACCTTTGTCATTTGGAATTATTTCCTTGGGCTTTATTTGATGTATTTGAGTTGCTTTTGGCTAGTTTCGAGCCGTTCGGAGATCGATACGCGGGGGATGGCATTTTTGGAGCATCGTTTGGCTTGCTTGTTATTAGATTTGGCTTGTTCGAGATGAGTAATACTTCTAAACTTGGTGTTGAGGGTATGAAACCTCGAATTGCGTGTTATGTGATTGATGTTGGGGTGAAGAGCATGCTAGGTGACGGGCGAGTGGGCGTGCACTGTGTGACTTGTGATTTAGTCGATTCCATGGAACTGTGTAGCTATCTTCTCTGGATATTTTCATTGTACTTTATATGTTAGAAGACCTGAGCTGTAATTTATTTTAGAAATCATGCTTAGGCATATGTTGGTATTATTGGGACCTACTGAGGTCATTTCTGCTGTTGAATCATATTCTCGTGTGCTGCCTTGGACTTATTTGTCTAAATATACTATCTTGCTATTACTTGTTATCGGTACTCCTTCCATATTCTTTGTTGTTTTCTCCGATTTAGTGTTCTAACTATTTTCTTGCTATCAGGGCCTCCTTCACCTTCTTTAGCCGAGGGTCATTTGAAAACAGTCTCCCTATCCTTCCACGGTAAGGGTGAGGCTGCGTACATCCTACCCTCCCCAGACCCCACTTGGTGGGATTATACTGGGTAGTTGTTGATGTTGTTGTTGAATTATATGTTTAAATTGAAATTTCGTACTCAGACATATTTATCCATGGCATATCATATCTCAGTCTCTGTTGCTATTTATTGATACATCATATCATCATTTTTGGGCTAGTTTTATGACATTGTGAGCCCGGGCGACCGTAGAGTTTGATGACTGAGTGAGGCCGAGGGCTTGATTGTGAGTGATATTTATAGGATCAGGCTGCACACCGCATCATGTTTTATTGATTTATGCCTAGATCTGGCTTATTATAGCGCTTGGGTTGAAGCAGCCCCTCCGGAGTCTGTACACACACCCAGTGAGCGCAGTTGAATTATATTGAGGGATGGATCTTCCGTGGGCATGGATCTTGCCCGAATCATTTATATTTGGGGATGGATCTTCCCCTGGCCTAGATTGGCCTTATACAATACTGAGTGACTGAATATATATATATATATATATATATATATATATATATATATATATATATATGAAATGGATCTTCCCTAGGCTGGATTGGCCATATATAGTACTGAGTGACTGAGCATGTTGAGTGATTGAGCATGATGAGTGAAAAGTGTGAGATAGTGAGATTGAGTACTCTGAGAGTGTGAGTACATGAGTTCATAATTGAGAAACATTGTATTTGATATGCGTACTTGAGATACATGCATAGAGATGCATTTTTTTCTGCTACTGGATTTCGGTGACATTCATGATTTCACCTGCATTGTGACATAAAGGCATAGAGATGTACTTTCCTCGTGCTATCTGAAAAATGAAACATCTTAATTATTGTTGAAAAGTTTTGGTAAAAATCACAGTTTTATAAACCTACTCATATTTTGATGATTTCAGATAAATAATTGGGCTTTCACTGATATATTTGAAAAGCATGCCTATTTTTTCGGGATTGTGAACGAGTTGAGCATCTTATATCTGAGTATGTTTCTTGTACCATTATTATTATGTTGTTATGAACTGTTATTGGCTATTGGTGTTGGACTCTAACCTCTGTTCCAGCTCGTCACTACTTTCTACCTAAGGTTAGGTTTGTTACTTATTGAATACATGGTGTCAGCTGTACTCATACTACACTTCTGCACCTTGTGTGCAGATTTGGGTGTTGACGTTGCTGTGTATGATGGGAGCTAGCATTGAAGGCGTACCTGTGTTCCGGTTATAGCTTCCTCTTGTTCATGGTAGCCCTAGACTTATGAAAAATATGTTTATGTATAATTCGAACAGATGGTGTATTTATTTTACACTAGCTTTGTAAACTCTAAATCATAGAAACTCATGATTTGTACTACTAGTCCTTGGAAAATCCTTTGTATAAAAGCAATTGTTTTATTATTTCTTCTCTTAATAAATCTCATAAAATTTGATAGTTGTCAATTGGCTTAACTAGCGGGTTGAGTTAGGTGCCATCACGACTAGTTCGATTTTGGATCGTGACACTAGTCCCATCAACACTGATGGCTTTTGATATATGTTTTAAAAAAATATCCAACCATATTTGGGATATTAGAAGGACGAGGTAGGCAAATTTTATCTATATGCACCGTTTATTCCTTCATTCATTAACTTTTCTGACTTTCTATCCTTTCATCGATTTTAACGAAAGCTGTGAAATAACAAAGCCAACTTTGCCAATATGGTTTGATGTATATACTCAGCAATGGCAAGAACTTCATACTCAGCGAAAGAAACGGTAATTGGAATCTAAACAAAAGTTAATTTTTCATTCACTGAATACTGGAACAGTACTTCTACACAGCTCAGCAGAGCATTTAGCATAAGACTACTTAAAAAAGTTTCATGAAGTTGACAAGGCACAATCTCTAGCACATGGGTATGGGTGGATGTATTGATGGAACCCTGCTCTATCAAAGTACCAATCTGCAACAGCTTCCGCAATTGTCTACAAGATAAAACGTTACAACAAAATCTGTTATTAACTCGTAAATTAAAATTACGTATGATAGACACATGATAAATCAAAAAATAATAAAGGCACAACATTATATGGATAAAACAAAAGAAAGACTACCTTATTAAGCACTCTTGGAGAGGTAGGACTGAACCAGTAACTCGTCCATACAATTTCACCATGGGAATAACAAGAGGTTATGAAATAACCCCTCGTAAACGAAGGGGTGAGTCCCAAGAATGCCTTCAAGAACTCCACTCCATAACCTATATTCAATAAACAAAAAAAAAATGAAACAAAAAGAATTAAAGCAGAAGCCATTACTTATATAATTGGAAGGTATGTGTTATTAATCTAACCTTGAATGATCATACGCTGGATAAATGTGCAGTTACTTATATGACTCTTGCAATGCTTCCAGATATGCTGAGGATCGAGGTATTCACTATTCAGGGACCAAAATGTAACTAACCTGGAATTAGTATTTTGAATTATCTAAAGGAAAGATATAGATTTTAAAGAAAACAAACAAAAAAAATTAAAGGAAAGAAACCGGCATTTGTATCGTTGACCTGCCAAGAGTCATAGTGTGAATTGATTATGAAAAATGGAGTCTGAACGTATGGAACAACATTTCGGGGGAAAAAGCACTGTACCATCATTAAGGAAGAGTAATGTTACTAGAGGGCAATAAAAATATAGCACAAGGAAAAGTTTTTTGTTTCCAAATAAAAACTTAAATTCTTACCAAACTTGGTTCCATTATAGAGGTGCAAGATAGAGGCAAATTCTTAGCCGATCCCTTAAACAAGAAGAAACATAAATATTAAAGCAAATGAATTTTAACTTGCAATTACTTATTGACCATATACTTTATATCTTACTAGAATAAAAAACAATGGGACTCACATGCAAAGTAACCACTCTCCTATACTCATCTTGGATATCTAAAGTACCAGATATTGCCTTGCTGCATAAATTATGAAACACTTGAGTTTCAACGGCATAGACATAAATCAATAAGACATCAAAATCATTTAATTTCTTGAGTTATCGCATAGCAAGAAGAGCTCACGCATTGATGAAGAAAGCTGCATCTGCAACGCACTTTACTCTGGCATCATCTGGAAGGAGAGACTTGAACTTATCGCAATTCAAGATTGTAGCCAATCCTCCAGCTGAAGTTCCGGTTAGAATTGCCTACATATAAAATGCATTTTGGTTTTAGAATTAAGCCAATTGGGAAAAAAGTTGTAAAGTAGCATAGTATGTGACTTGTGTTATACTATATGGGGTTAGAGAGCGATATCAGTTGAATCTTACATTTTCAGCCGTTTGCATTCCTTTTCTGGATAAATCATTCATAATGGCTCTGAAGATTCTTGCTCCTCTATAATAAAGTTTGGTATCCTAATGTAGATTGGAAAACATTTCATATCAGAAAAGTTGTAAAGCAGTAGAAATACTACTGCAATTTATTTTTCAATACTAGGGAAGCAGTACTACTTACAGGATCAACATCTTCAACATCACCTGTGAACGACGACCCATCACAATATCTGACTCTAACTCTATTCCAATTGTAAAAGTCTGCCAACTCATACTTTTACAAATTAGTAGCCGCTAAACTACGAAGAGTAAGATCAAAGCAAGAAAATAGTAATATTATATAGCTTCACCTGGATTAATTCTGGAATCGTCATGAAGAATTCCCGAAAATGTGACTTGTGGTGGAAGCGTATTTGTGGAAGAACCTAAGCCGCTATTTGAACGATGTTGGCAATCAGAGATACTAGAGCACCAACCACCGCCCTAACAATTTTTCAAAAGAGTTGACAAAAAGCAGAATAATTGAAGATTTGGCAATTTGGTGAAGATAAAGATGAAAAGAAGAAGAATAATAGAAGAAGAAGTAAATATAACTAACATCAACAACGATGATCCAGCTGAGAAGTCCACTACCATATCCCTGATCAAGATGATATGCCGGAGGGCTCCCATCTAGGCACACTGTTGGTGACTCGAAAACAAATAAATTAGTTAGTATACATGTGATTCTGTTTTCTCTGTTGGTCAAGTATTTTGCCTGCGCCTTCAGCAGCGGCGCTGTGTCACGACCCAAAATCTCTCCGAATGAGTCGTGATGGCACCTAGTCTCTAAACTAGGTACGCCTAACATTAACTGAGATAAGAGTATTTTACCTGCGCCTTCAGCAGTGGCGCTGTGAAGTATGGTGATGTTCACTTTCAGTTCTTGTGGTTGTTGGGCCATAATAGCTGTCAACATTGCTGAAGATGCTAGCAAAGCTAAGAAAAAGGTTACCATCCTGCAAAACATTCAAATAATCAATTGTTGGCTTATTATATTGCATATGTAAAAATTCCTTCTGTTAAACTCAACATTTGTCAGGAGAAACACCGCATTGCCAAATTTTAGATAAAATAACGAAGAAAGAGATGCAAAGACAAATAGAATGAAATAATTAATACATTTGGTCTTCTTAGAAAGGCTGGTGAGAGAAAGCAAAAGAAAGGAGTTCTATTTTCCCGAGAGAAAGAAATTATATACTAGTAGACTGTAGAAGCAAGTAGAGGTGAATGAGTTACGTTGGTCTGATAGTTCTTCTCTATTTATAATGCCAATGCCAGTAACTATTTTGCTTGCTTCCAGGCTAGGGTTCTAAAATGCCTCCATGCATGTGCCAATCTCCATCACTTCTTTACTTAGCTTCTTGTCTCAAACAAATCACGTGGTTTTCTCTTGCCATATTTGGCTGTAGAAATTAATGTTTCCCAATTCCCATAACCTTCTTTCCTTGGCAGAATAACTAATTACTCTTTTTACTTGTTTTTTCTTTTTCAAACAATTCACATGGGTTCCTCTTGCTATTTGGTAATAAAAATTAATATTTTCTATAACCATCCTCTTTTCTTGGCAGTGATATTTTACTCTCTTCACTTTTTTATCATCTTCAAGCAATCACATGGGTTACTCTAGCTAATTGACAGTAGAAATTAAAATATCCCATAACCTTCTTCTTTTCTTAGCAGTGAAAAATTAACTCTCTTTACTTCTTCTCTTCTCTGTTTGAACAGTTCACATGGTTTACTTTTGCTTTTGGCAGTAGAAATTCAAATTTTCCATAACCTTCTTCTTTTCTTTGCAGCGGAAAATAACTCTCTTTACTACTTTTCTTCTCTTTTCGAACAATTCACATGAATTCGTCTTGCTATTTGGCGATACTTTTTACACAGCTACTAGTGTAGTTTAATATGCTAATATCAAGTTTTTAACCATTCTTTCGAGATAGGCAGTCGATGATTATTACATAAAGTTAAATATAATTGTTGAGTTTAACTTTCATACAGTGATAGTTTAAAAGAATTCTTGCACTATTAGGACCTAAATAATAACTACTGGTATTGTCCGAAAGTGAGATCATTAATCTGGACAACAAATGAGATTGCATGCTTCAACATGTTAAAACATCATGTTAGTACTGTACAAATTACTGATAGTCAATGTATATGATCAAATTAAATCCATTATATGTAGGGTGACCTAAGTGTCAATATCCTTTACAGCATGAATAGAAACTCATGAAATTGTAATGGTCAATAAGTACAAAAATCTAAGAAGAAAAAAACTTTTCACCAGGCTGGACAGAGCTTGCAAACTAAGAGAAATAATCTTTTATTATATATTTCATGATATATCCATTAACAGCACATTAATCAAGGTGGTCAAATAAAACCACACTCTGGCATATGACAAATCGTTCTTTAAGTTCATGCGGTTTAATCCAAAAAATAATTTTCAATGTTAAAGCAATTAATTTTATATGATGGGTCACAAGCAACCGATTCAGTCCGAAAAATATAAATTTTTGTTAATGCAACGTGATAGAGAAGTGGAAAATAAATTCAATGATAGATATTATAATAAAAATAAAGCAGAGAATAATGATTCTTATTGGATGATCCTTGATAGTATGATGAATCGAACAGAGCTTGAACAGCCGAACTATGTCTAAATTAGGAGCAAGATGCTATGAATTCTAATGTGTAGATCTGTAGAGAAGAAAAACTAAATGATTACAATGGTCAGGGGCGGAGGGACGTGTCGCTAAAAAAATCAACTAAATTATAAGTTTACATAGTAATAAATGAATTACGAGTATTAGAGACCGGGTGGATTGCTTCAGAGGCTCGAGATTCTAGAGTGGAAATGGGAGCGTATCAACATGGATTTTTTAGTTGCACTCCCACGGACTTCGAGGAAGTTTGATGCTATTTGAGTGACTGTGGATCGGTTGACCAAGTCCGCGCATTTTATTCCATATGGGACTACCTATTCTTTGGAGCGATTGGCTGAGATCTACATCTGCGAGATTGTTCACCTTCACGGTGTGCCGGGGTCCATCATTTCATACCGGGGCACGCAGTTTACATCACAGTTTTGGAGAGCAGTGCACTGAGGGTTAGGCAGACGGGTTGAGTTGAGTACAGCATCCCACCCTCAGATGGTCGGACAGTCTGAGCGCACTTTTCAAATATTGGAGGATATGCTATGCGCTTGTGTCATAGATTTCGGGGGTTCTTGGGATCAGTTTCTGCTGCTTGCCGAGTTTGCTACAACAACAGCTACCAAGTGTGAGCATGTGATTTTTGCCCTATATGAATTATTCCCAAAAATTCCAAACAAAATGATTTCTTTCATTATTTTACGATTGTGAGAATTTTGTGTTAGTTTCTGTTGATTGTTTGCATTTTTGTGAATTTTAATTCATATAAATACTTGGCATTTGCGTTTAGGATCTAATTTCATGATTAATTAGTGGTTAAGTTATTTTTAAAACAAAATATAAAGAAAATAACAAAATAGTCCATTTTTGCATTTTTCCTTTTTAATTGTTGAATTTGTCATGGGTTTGCTTTAAGTAGGACTTAATCAATTTTAGGACTTAATTAGTTTAATTTTGGAAATGAATTTGGTCTTTATTTTAATCTTGCATTTTAATAAAGTCAGAAAATTATAAAAAATACAAAATGAAAATAAAAGGGAAAAGAGAAAACAATTTTGAGAAAAAGAGAAAAGTTGGTCTTAAAAGACCCGAATTTGGGCCAAAATGGCTGAACAAACGAAATAACCCGGTCAATGAGCCCAAGACCCGTCATCCAACCCGGTCCAGACCCCCTAATGGCTAAACGACGTCGTTTTACGTCAAGTTAATCCTAGCCGTCTAGGTTAATTGATCCAACGGTCCTGAAGCCTACGACATTTAATATATAAGTGTCTGAATATACTCCCCCCCCTAGCCATCGTCTCTCTCAGAGACGACCCTGAACCCTCCGCCCATGACTACCGCGACTCCGCCTACCGGAAATCGCCTTACGGCGGTTCCGTTAGGCCAAACTCCGCCATTTTTACACCACAAACTCACCTCGACCTCCCCTTTCCAACCATCACCATAGCTCCCCTCGAATCAGGCCCCAACTCTTCGAATCTTAAATGGAAGGTTGGCCGGAAAACCTCACCTTCTCCGATGGCCGCCAAATTAACACCCTAAGACCTTCTAACCACCCCCAACCCAAATCCTTAAACCGTTTGGCTCGAATCTTTCTGGAACTTCTCGAATCTTCATTTGAAGATTCGAGCCAAACATGAACCTGTCCAAACCGGCCCAAATTTACACCCCACAGTCTCCATGACCTCCCCATCATTAATCCCTGACCAAAACCTTTCGAATCTTGCCATAACTCCTCGAATTTCAAATCTTAAAACCGGCAGAACCCTAGCTCAAAATTTAGGGATTTTTGACCGTAATTTCCCTAATCATGTGGGTTCTTGTGAAAACACACGATTAGGGATGTTACGTGTCAAGAATCTTGGAGGATTCAAGCAACAGTGCCTAACCGAGTTCCTAATTCTATTAGGTATTCTGTTTTCCCTTCTTTTAATTCTGATTTTATTCTTGTTTCTTTTGTTTTATGTTTTGCTTATCTTTTTTGATTCAGTATGTGTTCTAGCAATTTTAATAATTAGTGTACATATTTGACTGTCAACGCATGATTTTAGCCTTTAATTCAATAGTTCGATCCTTGAACGTGTGTTAGCCTGTCTCGATAATTCTTTGCAATTCGATTTTGCATCATTTTAATCTTAGTTAATTGTTGTTTCAACCCTGTTCAGATACTGTTTGGTTGGATTAAATCACTGGTTTGATTGAATTTTAGTAATTAGGGTTAATTGATTGGTTATAGCTGATTTAGATTAAATAAGGTTAACTATAGTCAGTACTAACTAAAGTAAAGGGGTTTGGGTTGGTCAGTAATTCCAAGAGAGTTTTGAGGGCAGTTCAGGTATAGAAAAGGGTACTTTCAGCAGATTTGGTAATTTTTGAAAAGGGGTAAGGATAGAATAGGGATTGTAATGGGTGTAGGACTTTCTAGAATAGACTTTAGTATAGTTTTCAATAAAATAGGTGTTGTTACTTGGGTAATAAGTCTTAAAAATTAGGGACTGAAAGTTAAAAGGAGAGGGACTAAAGAGAAAAACAAAATCTGAAGAAAGCTTTACATTTTTGCCTATAAAAGGCACACACACTGCCTTGTTCAACAAGTTAGAGGGGACCTCTGAAAATTTCAAAAAAAAAAATCTGAATCCTGAAGTTCAAGTTTCTTTTAGATCTTATTCCTGCAAAAATCAAAACAAAAAAAAAATACAAAGAAAAGAAGCCCAATAAAAGAAAACACTGTTATATTGCCTTAAGGTTGGTCTTGAGTTCTAGTCCAATTTTGCTCAAATTCGAGATCAAATCAGTATGTTCTGAGTTATCTCTAGTTGCTGAAGTTCAGAAATCTCCTCCTAAGTTTAGTTTCAATTCATTTTGGTTCAATCAAGTCTGTTGCGTGGTTGTTGGAGTCGTGTTCTTTCACATTTCGATTCTGGTCTATTTCTGTTATCTGCTGGACTGCGTACGAGCTGGTGCCTGGCTATTAGCTGCTGATTACTGCTGCTGATTCTAATTTCTTCTTCATTTTGTCTTCCTTCCCAGGTACACATCATGTAACTCCTGTGTTCATGGAAATGAAATGATATGCAGCACAATTTTTCTATGGATTTTATTATTGTGATTCATGTAATTGAATAACTGTTATTAGACTATGGCTTGTAAATTAAGACTGGACTGTCGAAACCATTTACTAGATCGTTTGGATTGCTTTAGATTTCCGTATGATACAATGGAATGTGTAGTGGTATTAGGTCTAGTTTCCATGTGTTTAACGGAATTTCATTGTTGATTTTCGTTTATGTGATGATCCATCTCGAACCAGTTTCATTGATTAAATCATAGCTTAATTATCACTGGGCCAATACGCTGTTTTGATTAATTTGAGCATAAGAATTTACTGGTTTACGCTTTTTAGAATGATGAGTTTAGGCTAATTTGTGAAGAAATGAGTAACTGAAGATCCATATACTTGTAATTCCACAGCCCAAAAGAATAGGCTTTGGATCTGGACTCCTAGTAAGTTTGGGCTCCTTGGAAGCCCAAATCATCTCGCCAACTTATCTGAATTCAATT